TGTAAGTTTACCTTGGAAGGAAGGGCATAGTTTATTGCCAACTAATTATAGCTGTAGTGTGCAGAGATTAAAGGCACAGCTTTTAAGATTAAAGAAGGAGCCAGAAGTTTTACATGAGTATGACAGAGTAATTAAAGAACAATTAGAGCTAGGTGTTATAGAACGTACCAGTTGTAGAGTTAGAGAGAGCTGATAAGATCCATTATCTACCACATCATGCTGTGGTTCGTAAAGATGCAAAGACCACTAAGGTCAGGGTTGTGTATGATGCATCGAGTAAAGATATTAAGAAGGGTGTATCTTTAAATGACTACTTGCATGTTGGGCCACCTTTATCCCCGTTGTTGTATCACATTTTATTGCGTTTTAGAGAAAAGCGAATAGCGCTTGTAGCAGATATAGAGAAGACTTTTTTAAATATTGAAATTGATCCGTGTGACAGAGATTGTTTGAGGTTTCTTTGGGTGGGCAACATACATGAAGATGAGGTGAAGCCAGTAGAGTATAGATTTTGTAGAGTTGTTTTTGGTGTGAACTGTGCATCATTTTTGCTGAATGCCACACTTCAACACCATCTTGACCGCTTTTCGAAGGGTAATCCTGAATTGACTCGAAAGTTGAAGGACGGCTTTTATGTTGATGATCTGGTAACTGGAGAACAAACCCCTGAGCATGCATTATTATATGAGGCTTCTAGTAACAATTTAGCTTCTGGTGGGTTCAAGCTTAGGAAATGGCTCAGTAATAGTAAACTTGTATTAGAGAAAATCCAATCAAAGGAAGAAATCAAGCCTGATAGAGGAAACTTGGCATATGAAGAAACATTTGCTAAGTCATTCCTTTGCATGACAGGCAAAAATGACACATCAGAGAAAGTCCTTGGGTTAGCTTGGAATTGTACAACTGATGAGTTTCAGTTTTTGTTTCAGGGTTTAAAAGTTGAGAAAGCAAAATCGCCACCTGTAACCAAACGCAATATTCTTAGAATATTTGATCCATTGGGAATCCTTAGTCCAATGGTAGTAAGTATTAAGATGTTGTTTCAAGCACTGTATTTGGACAAAGTAGATTGGGATTCTGAACTAAAAGGAAAATATTTGAAGCAATGGTTAGGTTGGGTTCATGATCTTGAGGTTGTAGGTCAAATTATGATACCAAGGTGTGTGAAATGGCAGTTTAATTTAGAGAGAGCGCCCCCACCGGGGGGAGGATTCTTTGAAAGGTTGGTTGGTTTGGTGAAGAGGTGTACGTAAGGTGCTGGGGAACGCCAAGTTGACATTCGAAGGACTGTTGACAACTTTAGTTGAGGTTGAAGGCACGTTGAATTCGAGACCGTTAACCTACATTTACGATGAGGTTGAAAACGATGTGCTAACACCGAATCATTTGATCTTTGGTCGTAGATTGAGTTTAATTCCAGACGAGAATAGTTACAAAATTGAAGAGAATGATGCGACAAAGGTTAAGCGTAGGTTTAGGCATCTAGCGAAACTGCGAGTTCACTTTTGGGAGAGATGGAGAAAAGAATACTTGACGAATTTGAGAGAGCATCATAGAAGTAAGAGGGAGAAGAGGGATAGTAACGTGAAGAAGGGAGATGTAGTTTTAGTATTTGACGAGAACCTTAAGAGAGGATTTTGGAAGTTAGGTAGGATTGAGAGTTTAATTGTCGGTAAAGATGAAGTGGTTCGAGGAGCGAAAGTGAGAGTGATGACCAAAGGAAATGCAGTATATCTAATAGACCAGTTCAGAAATTGTATCCTGTAGAGTTAAATGAGAACGAAAGCAGTACGGAAGAAAGAAAGGATAATAAAGTTGAAAATGAAGTGGATGGGTATGATAACCAGAAAGGAAAGACGAAAATTAATGAGAAAGGAAAGACGGAAATGAATGAGAAAGACGGAGAAAGGGTAAGGTGGAAAGCCGTGTGCGCAGTAGGAGAGCAGCAGCTTTGGATGCACAATGGAGAACACAAGTCATGTTTGACCCTTACAGGCTCAAAGGGGGGAGTGTGTAGAATAATTTGTAATACTATATTATTGATAACGCCGTAGGACAACAAACAATAGTTGATTTAGTTGATTGACGTAAGAAATGTATCATATTTCATGAATAATATACTTCCAATTGATTGTCAGACTGAACGCGCGAGAGAAAACCAGGAGGATTGTTATGTTATATATTTTATCGTTTGAATAGTTTAAATAAATATGTTTTAAAGTACGCGTGTGTGTTCTATTTCCGATGGTATTGTTCTGATAGTATACAGTCCCCACGAAGCGCAACTGTCTTGCGGTGTAAGACAGAAAAGTGCAACAGTATCCCATGAAAATTTTTTTACCTGTTTGTTTTAATATAACTCAAAAATTATAAAAGCTATTGAGCTGAAATAAACTCCATTACATGCAGGAAGGGCTAACTTAGATTTTGATATATAACATGCGCTAAATTATCGGTACGATATTGACGGAGATACAAGCATTTGATGATGCAAGGCGCTTTCAAAATTCGCGAAAAATCGGCTTATTACTGTAAATTAATTGGAAAACACTTGCCACTTTCCTTGGAAACTTTTTAACTTCAGTGAAATTCAGTGATTGTAACTTTAATTGTAGGCTTTTCCATTGCAAACTTACTTTTAAAAATAAAAATTACACTAAAGAATGATTCTTAGGAATAAAATAAAGTATATAATAATTCAAGTTCCATTCATTCAATGGAAAGAATGTTCCATTTGATGTCCCTTGCTCCCTTGGGATTCTAACTCGCAAGGAAAGAAACATTGGCGGTTAAATCTTCGTTTTATGCCAGTTTTTGACATTTTGAAAAATGGTAGTTCAACTTTGAATTTCAATTGCTCCGACAATATCACACGGATAATTAAATGTTATATATTAAAGTCTAAGTTAGGCCTTTCTACAATCCTGGTCAAAAATATTGGCGCACTTGACACTGACTGTGCGAAATTTGGGGAAAGTATGTATATGGTAATCAGAAATGAAGTAAAGGTTATGCTATTTCGACTAAGTGCGCCAAGGATTTTTGACCAGAATTGTACATGCAATGGAGTTTATTTTACTTCGAGAACTCGTATAGTTTTTACGTTATATGAAATCAAACAGATAATTTTTTGGGGGACACCCAGTACCATAGATACATTTTTAGGGAATGAGTAACTGATTGTCTTGACTCTTGGTGATATATGGGCATTATATTAACTTTACCATACTATATGTATATATATAGTGTACATGCACGGAGGGATATTTATCGTAAGCCGTTAAAGAAAGGACTGCAATTCTACCAACAAAATTTAAACTGAAAATAACGTAATGATCAAATTTTGAATAGTTACAATAATAGTTTCAATCGCAAAAATTCGATCTCTTGGCTTTGAGAATCATTGAGAATCAATCGAGATCCCATGAGATCATAACATGTATAGTCTTGATTGACTGCATGTGTTGGCAATTTCCGTTTGCGGACATTACTACAGTCAAGCTTTCCTTTCACACGGATACGATTGAATATTTAATAATGGATATATACCAGTAATATTTTTTATAGGCACTAAGGACAGTGAAATGTTTTGTTATATGAGTTTCGTTTTGTTTTGTTTAGTTAGCGAACTGTTTATCGAAATTCATGTTTTGCAACTGAATTTAGCTTAATTACAACGAGATTATCTATAGTGCGAGCTGCGAGTTGCGAGTTGCGAGCTGCGAGTTGCGAGTTGCGAGTTACGAGTATATTGTTAATTTCTAATAACATCGGGTTTAATTTTAACCCAGGGTTAACACTAACCTTGCTTTGAAGCACCGAACCAGGTGTTTACACCTGTGGTTTACACTAAAAATTCAAATTGAAAACTGTATGGCATCCTGGCGGATGTGATTTTAGCTTTGTCTCAATTTGGCGCCAATTTTCAGCTTTTGAAATAAACATTCATTGCATTTATTTTTATACTTACAAACTTGTAAATAGCAATCGTTTTGATATACTGATGGTTTTTTCCCGTGTTTAGATAAAGTTTATGTATGTATATATGTATATGTATGTCTATGTATAAATTGTATAAAATAAATTGTACTTCCGATGAAAAGGACTTGAGTTTTATAGGGTTCCCAGCGTTCAGTATATATAAACAAACTGAGTCGGTGTCTGGTCATACTTACTAATAAAATTAAATAACCATTTTAAGATTACAAAGCACAAAATGGTCTGGATAACTACTAGATTTTATTAAACACAGAAACGGCAAATATAAACTTGCACTTTTATTTTCAATATAATTATTTTAATTCTTGAACATACGTATCGATGGATCTAACAAAGTAAAAAACAAGTAAAGGCCGATTTTTATCTCGTCCGTATCGTAGCATTTTCTTTTGTGTCGAAGTCTTAGTTACAGGGACCTTAACTTCGAAGGTCATTATATTTATGAAACAAAAAACCCTTCGACTTTGCCTTCCATGTCGTCCATATTAATATACTTTCAAAGCCTAATTCAAAGCGAGGCTAGCGACTCGCAGCTCGCAACTCGCAACTCGCAGCTCGCAACTCGCAGCTCGCAACTCGACTCGCAGCTCGCAAAATAGCCGACCCCAATTACAACATTCTAGCTATGATAGAAAATGCATGCCATGCAAATAGTGGAAGTTTTTTTTTGTCAAAATGTTAGTTAAAAAACTATTTAACATAGATATACAATATTTTCGAAGTTAAATTATGTTGACTCGGTCCAATCTATTTCGTTATTGTCTGTCCAATTCCGGGGGCAAAATAAGGTGGGGGCAGGGGCAAGCGAGAACAGCAGAATAATTCGTGCATTTTTAGAAGTTCTATATAGCCGGTGTACATATAGAGAAACATATCATCGATAATAAACTCGCTCGAAGATCAAGTCCATGTTTTACAAGTCCATGTTTTACATGCAAGTCCATGTTTTACCAATCTCGTTCCCAGAGTATGCCTGTTCGCGGGTTAGGTTGTGGCATGACTCTGGGGAAATCGAATCGAAATCGTTACTTGATTGGCTGCCGCGATCATCAATGTTACAAATGGCCGGGGTCGGCTATTTTGCGAGCTGCGAGTTGCGAGCTGCGAGTTGCGAGTTGCAAGTTGCGAGTTGCGAGTCGCTAACCTCGCTTTGAATTAGGCTTTGAAAGTATATTAATATGGACGACATGGAAGGCAAAGTCGAAGGGTTTTTTGTTTCATAAATATTAATGACCTTCGAAGTTAAGGTCCCTGTAACTAAATTCGTTAATTTCAACACGTTTTCAGTGCACTTTAAGCCGGTTTTCCACTTCAACCGTATCGTAGCGAAGCGTATTTCTTTGTTTCCTGACTACTAGAGTGGAAATAATGACTTCGACACAAAAGAAAATGCTACGATACGGACGAGATGAAAATCGGCCTTTACTTGTTTGTTTACTTTGTTAGATCCATCGATACGTATGTTCAAGAATTAAAATAATTATATTGAAAATAAAAGTGCAAGTTTATATTTGCCGTTTCTGTGTTTAAT